TTGTTTCAGTCATGTCTATCTCTTTGTGACTCCATTATGGGGTTTTCTTGGCAAAGATACTGGAGTGGTTTGCCATTTTCTTCTGCAGCTCATTTGACAGATGAGGAAACGGAGGGTTAAGTGACTCACCTTGAATCATACAGCTAGTGAGTGTCTGATGCTGGATTTGAGCTCAGGAAGACTAGTCTTCTTGACTCCAGGCCCAGCACTCTATCTACTGTACCACCTAGCTGCCCCATACATGTGCGTATGTGTGTATATACATATATGTACATACACAATATAGGTATACACACATCAGTACCCACAAATATACACATGCATGTATACATACTATATATATATATATATATATACACACACAATATAAGTTCAAATATACATATACACATACTACATATACATACTATACACACACATACATATATATCCACAATATAAGCTCAAAGTAATTTCAGAAGTTGGGGAATGCTAGTAACTGGGGGAATCAAGAAAGCCTCATGATAGGAGGTTGCTCTTCCGTTAAGCTTTGAAAGAAGGTAGGGATTCCATGAGGAAGCTACGTGAGGAGAGAGTAGGGTATCAATACGAGAGAGGCTGCGGAGACAGAATTGCCAGTTTTAGGCAAGATGACACCAAGGTTGAATATGTGAGTGACTAGAAGGATGGTCTAGCTCTCCATAGACATAGGAAAGGTAGGAAGAAGTGTGGTTTTAAAGGAAAGGTGGAGTGCCATGTTTTGTTTGAGATCCCTAGGGGACATCCATCAGGTAATGAGACTGGCTCTCAGGAGAGAAAGGAGGGTTGGATAACTTTATTACCTAGAAATGGGAGCCACTAAATTGTACACAAGGATCCCTGTAGGCCATGTATTGGCTTAGAAACACATGCACACACACACACACACATACACACACACACACATATGAAATTTTGTTAAATATTTCTGAATTACTTTTTAATCTGGTTTAAGTCACACTCAGGAGTGTTGTAGGCCTTATAGTTGACACCTCTGACTTACAGGATCCTGGATTTGACATTTAAAGCTCTGTACAGCCTGTCCTCTCTCTACCTTTCCCACCTTCTTATACTTTACTCCACTTTGTGATCTAGCCATGCTGGTCTACTTCCTGTTGCTTTCACTTGATGCTCCATCTTTTATCTCTATTGCATCGCAATGACTGTCTTACATGCCTGGAATACTCTCCCTCTTCACCCTCCATCTCTTAGAATGCCTCATTTCCTTCAAGAATCAGCTCAATGGCTGAACAAGTTATGGTATATGATTGTGATGGAATACTACTGTGCTATAAGAAATGATGAGCTCAATGATCTTAGAAAAACATGGAAAGACCTGCATGAAATAATGAAGAGCAAAATGAACAGAACCAAAGGAACATTGTATACAGTAACAGCAATATTGTTTTAAGAACAACTTTGAGCAAATAAGTTATTTTGTCTATTATAAATACCCAGGTTAACTATAAAGGATATATGAAGAAAGACGCTGTCTACATCCAGAGAAAAGACTGATAAATAGAAGTATGGATAGAATAATTACATATATATATTCCTATTTGTATCTAATGGCAGCCATCTCTAGGGCAAGGGGGGAAGGTAGAAAAAATTTACATGATAATTTTGTTGTATATTTGAAAGGAATAGCAAGTTGTACATAGTAGATTTGCAGTTTCATGTGCAATCATCTTTTATATTGTGCTGTGTTATGGAAATGCTTGCTTTACTCCATAAATTTAAAAAAAAACCCCAAAACAATAAGCTCAAATTTGATCTCCTGGAAGAGGACAATTCTGGTCTCCTCTCCCCTGCTCTCCAACAGCTGTCAGGGCTTATCCCTTATGAGGTTACTAATCTTCTATCTAGTCTGTATGTATCTTGTATGTAACTATTTATTTACAATTGTCCCCTGAATTAGAATTTAAGCTCTTTGAGGGCAAGAATGATTTTTCCCTTTCTTTGACTCCTCAGCACTTAGCACAGTACCTGGTACATACTTGTTAACTGACTAGACATGTAGATTTGTGGGTCATTTGCACAGAGATGATAACTGATCCCAAGGGGGCTGAGAAGGAATGGGCCCTTATTGAAGCTTTGAACTTCAATTAAACTCAAACTTTGAGATAATTTTATCCTTTTGAGGATATTAAACTTAAAATGCAAATTTCCACTTTTACTTTCTTGATTTTTTTAGAGCACCATTTGAATATGTTGTCTTAGAAAGATTTAGTTGAATGAGTTTTAGATGGGAAGATGGATAAGTCAGAATTTCATATTTCTACTTTTTTTGAGGGTCTCAATCCATAAAAAACTTTTTTTTGGAATATCTGTTAGTGCCTGGTGCTACACTGGAGGACATCCATCTTTTTTTTTTTTTAAAGTACGGAGCATCCTGGGGTGGTATCTTTGTCCAGTCTCTGGATCAACGCCTGGCTTTGTATGTAAGTAGGATCACAATGATGCTGGGTGTTAGTGCAGTTGTGGCGGGGGGGGGTGGGCAGGAGTATTTCATGGCCACACCAATTCAGTTTCCTTTTAATATTCACTTTCTACCCCACTCTCCAACTTAAGCATTATCTACCACCTTCAATGGGCAGCTAGGTGGCACAGTGGATGGAGCGCTGGACCTGGAGTTAGGAAGACTTATCTTTCTGAATTCAAATCTGGCCTCAGACACTTATTAGCTGTGTGACCCTGGGCAAGTCACTTAATCCTGTTTGCCTCAGTTTCCTCATCTGTAAAATGAGCTTGAGAAGGAAATGACAAACTACTCCAGAATCTCTTGTCACAAAAACCCCAAATTGGGTCATGAAGAGTTGGACATAACCAAAAAACAAAGACTAAACCACCTTTAATGCTGTAGGATTAGGAATCTTCATTACAGAATATAATAGCTGAAAATTACATAGCTTTTAAAGCATTTTGTATGCATTATCTCATTTAAACCTCACAATAAATAGTACATATATTCTTATCGTTAGTTTAGAAATGAGAAAACAGAAATTTAAAGAAGTGACATTGCCCAAGGCCATGTAGTAGCATGAGTGGAAGACAGGTCCTCTACAAGGATAGTACTCTTAGTATGGTATATACTGATGATAGATGAAAGATGCTATGGGAAAATAAAAACTCATGAAGTCCTAGAGTATTTGAGTTGGATAGGACCTCAGAGGTGAATGAATTTCCTCTAAAGTATCTCCTACAAAAGATTAGTCAAAGTCTGCTTGAATACCTCCAGTGATAGGGAACTCACTACCTTATAAAATACTCATTTACATTAAAATCACTAATAACATATACTTTTTTAAAAAGTTAATTTATTCTTGAATGGCTGTAAGATTATCTCAAAGATGTTATTAGCATTAGTTTTGAATTTATAATTCAGGGAAGTACTAGAGAATGTTTGGAAATTGCTATATCTTGTGGTTGAGCAAGTCATACATATTTTTAGATTTTTCTCACGTGAAACCACTGAAACAAGATATCTATGTAAAGAAGAAAAAAAATCTTTGCAAGTGGCATCTATGTGTTCATTCAGCAAAATGAGAATTCTGAGCCCTGTCCCAACTGCAACTTCTGCTCATACCAACCCATGTGGTTGATGGATATAGTGGCATCATTGTGCCAATTATTAGATACTGCTAGGTCTCTGCCAGTCACAGCCAGGCTGCATAAAGACGCAATTATTTGAAAAAAGACAGATCATTTTAAAAGTTACATCTGAGATTCAAAATGCACGGCCATTGTCCCAGTGTCTATTTGCATGGGTTGTATGGAACACAATGCAATATAGTTCTGGGAAACAGTTTCTCAGTCCCAAATAATCATTTATTAAGTGCTTATTATTTGCTTAGCCACTGTGTTGGGCACTGGGGATAAAAAAAAAAGAGTCTGCCCTCAAGGAGCTTACATTTTTTTTGGGAAGGGAATGCAACATGTAAACAGATAAATATAGGGACTGGACATATAATTCATTATTTTGGGGTACTTCCAGGTAAGGCAATTCCCATGACCCATGCATGTCAGCACCTTCACTGCGACTTTTAATCTTAGAGAGTTATCTAGAATATTGTGATGTTAAGAACTTGCCCAGGGTGACACAGTCAGTCTTCCTGTTTTCTGTGGCCAACTCGCTATCCATGCTACTATGCTGCCTCTCAGATAAATATACACATGATAATCTGAGGAGGAATTAGAGAGCTCTGACAATTGGCAGGGGGTGGGTGGAGTGAAGGTTGGTCCAGAAAAGCTTCCCATAGGAGGTGGCACAAGGGCTGAGTCCTGAAGGAAGTCAGAGAATTCTAAGATGCAGAGGTGAAGAAGGAACCCATTCCAAACATGGAGAATAGCCAGTATCTTGGAGAGATTCCATGTTCAAGGAACAATAAAGAGGATTATGGGGCTGTAGCTTGGAGAGAGCTCAGGGACCATCTAGTTCTGCCCCTCCTCCCCACCCCCCCTCATTTTACAGATTGGAAAACTGAGGCCTAGAAGATAAAGTACTTGGCTAAAGTCACATGGAGATGAGAAATGGGATTTGAATCCAGACCTCTGACCCCAGAGTCAGTGTTTCCCCACCCTCTGCCATGCTTCCCTAGGCTAATTTTTTTTCCTCTATCTCACTGTAGGGCTGCAGTCATTTAGCATCCTTTCACAGAGGACAGGAAGGGGATTTCCTAGAGTTTCTACCTCCCCAGTCATTTTCTTTTGCCTTAAGTTGCCCAAAGTGACATATAATTTCTATGTCATAACTCAATAGACTGAAATGATGGAAAGATTCTTAAAGGATCTGCAGTCTTCAAATAAAATCAATTTGATGGTCACAACCCCCAGTCTTCCATTGATTTAGAGAGTCGCTGCTATTCAGAAAGAACGCATACAACTCATTTAAGGATGGAGGATACTTTGTCAGTATCAGCTAAGCCTTCTAATCTCCTGAAAACCTAAGGTGAAGGCAGGGGAGCCAACAGTGCCCAGTTTACCTGTTAAACCAGTCATCTGTGTAGCGAGGGTAAGGATAAGGGTCATTGCTGCTGAAGTCATAGCTCGCTTCCGCATTCTGAAAAACACAAGGGATCTCGCTGGGTCAATAGGAAAACAGAGGCACAGGAAACAGAAAATGCTACAAAGAGTAGGCTTTCCATGGTGATTAATCTCTCCTTAAGTCATCTGGTAAAGGACTTTTGCTCAGAGATAGCCCTGGGCAAGATGGTAAAGGAAGGAAGTAAAGTTTGTCCTCCTGGTTCCCTTCCTCCCATTTCTTCCCATATTTTCCCTGCCCTGAATTGGACCTTAGAGATCATTAGTTTTACAGGTCAGAAAACTGGAGCCTTCATAGGGGTAAAGTGATCTGACCAAGGTCACATAGGTAGCTAGTGTCAGAGCAAGGATATGAAACCAAATTCTGACTCCAACTCTAGCATCCTCTCCACTCTACCAACCCATACCATCCTGCCAAAGACACAGAAAGCTGCCCTAGGCTCTTGAGGTGGTACTAAATTCATGTGTGGTATCTTGTTACCCTCTGGAAGTACTTAGATTTAAAAAGAAGAGAAGGCAGTGTTTAATACAAAGGATGATTCACTAATGGAATTCCAACCTGAGACTAATGAGTTCCCTACCGGCTCTAGAGCTAGAATCTGGTGGAGAAGTCTTGTCTGTTCCTTTCCTGTTTGTGCTGACAGTTGGTATAAGTTGTTCAGGACTTGACAACATGTACCATTATCGCAGAACTGTTAGCTAACTTAGCTACCTGAAAGACCCAGAATAGAAGACTGGGAAAAATGTATGCCCCTTGTCCCTCCTAACTTCATTGTATGGCCGTCTCTATTGGCAGGAGTGTCAGAAGCCATGTAATTCATATATAACCAAGAGCTCCTTGCACCAAATATACACACAGCCTTCTAGCTCTCAGCTTCTGTGAAATGGTCCTGCTACAAGGTATTGGAAGGAAGGGCAGCTATTTCCTTCCCTATGAAACATTATTGACTTGTGAAGTAATTCATATTTCTGATGATTTTAACTCTTTGATACATAATTTCAAAAGGGCTCAGACATTGGGAACACTGCTCTTAGCAGTACTCAGAATGCTGAGTGCTGGACAGCGTCATCAGTCAGTGGCGTACAGGGAAATAAATGTCTAACAACCGCTCTCAAGGAAAAAATGTATTTTTACATTTACGCTTTTATTTTTTAGCCAATCAGCGTTAAGGGACTTGCCCAGGGTCATATAGATAGTAAGTGTCTGAGGCCAGATTTGAACTCAGATCCTCCTGACTCCAGGGCTGGTGCTCTATTCACTGTGCCACCTAGCTGCTCCTGCATGACACATTTTAAAGTTTATTCTGCATTATTAACATTCTATCCATCACTTTTAAAAGTCTACCAGGAGTGGGGAACCTGTGATCTCCAGGCCACATATGGCCTTCTAGGTCCTCAAATGCGGCCCTTTAACTGAATCTGTGAATTCTGTGAAATCTGTGACTGAAGATGTGGAGTTTGGATTCAGTCAAAGGGCCACACTTGAGATCCCAGAGGGCCACATGTGGCCTTGAGGCCGCAGGCTCTCCACCCCTGGTAGACAATCAACAGCACAATAATTCAAGCCCTGATTTGTATGCGTTGGCTCCAATGCACGAGTGCCTTTGGGGTATTGAGCACCTGGACGCCTCTGCTCTCCTTGCATCTCTGGGCTCACCAGCTATATGATGGTAGGTAAATTACTGCAACTTTCACTGCCTAAATCTCCTTCTTTATAAAGATGAGAAATATCAGTCTGATTGACCTTTTGGGGATGGTTTGGGGATCGAATGTGACAACAGAAATGATGGTACTTTGAAAACTTATAGACTTATAAATTGCATTACTGGGAAGTACCCGGGAGGGCCTCTAATGCCTCTTGCTCCCTCATCTTATAGGTGAGGAAATTGAGGCCCAGAGAGGTTAAGTGATTTCTCTATGGTCGCACAGTAAAATGGAGTAAAATGAGCTAGTCAGTAGCAGAGCTGCCCCATGAATCCAGGTTTTTTGATTTGTAATGTGATGCTCTTTCTTGTACTACATCAATGGAAGACTTGGTTACCATAATAATCCTCATTTTATTTGGCATCCCCTGCCTAGGTTGCTTTTTTTTGCCCTTAAAGAAAAAGAATTAAACTTATTGATAGAGGAGATGCTTTGAGATTGTAGCACCCAAGAGAGAAGATATGATACTGGTGGATCCCATCTAGGGCCTTTAAGCCAACGAGGGAATGCAGTGACAGTTTGATTCTTTGTGGCAGGCATATTTCTTCTGTGGAACCCTGGGCTCATGTCTGACCACTGGGCAGTGATCAGACCTTCCCAGCTAGGATACAAGGAAGGGCTAAACAGTGGAGAGGGGCAAGCTTCCTGCCTGCCAAGGGCTGTCTTCTTCACTGGCCATTGCCATATGTATGGTACTATGCTAGGGGAAAGTGCTATGGCTTCTCTTGATTTTTATTCAGAAATTTGAGGGTAGAAAAGGAAACTGTGATACAGTGACTGGGAACCTTAGATTGTCATCCCCTTTGCTATCTTCTCCATGGTTTAGTAGAAAAAACACTGGGCTTGGAGGCAGAAACAGGATGGATTCAAATTCTGCTCCTGACATTTATTTATTTGTGTTTTTATGGGCATGTTACTTAATGTTTCTAGATCTAGATTTGTAAAATGGGTCCAGTAACACCTACAATCATTCATTCATTTGACAAGCATTTATCAAGCGTCCATTAAGAAACAGAAATAAGGAGAAGTCTTCATCCTTCTCCAGGTTACGCTGCTGACTCATCTGCATAAGACTTTCTCTGCCATCCATAGAAATGTCCCCACCCTGGAAACTTACTCTATTCCAGGGTTGCTTAGCTAGGTGGTGCAGAGGAGAAGGAAATGGCAAATCACTCCAGTGTCTTTGCCAAGAAAACCCCAAATGGGGTCATGAAAAGTCAGATACAATTGAAAAAAATGACTGAACAGCAAAAAGTAGTGGATAGAGTAGATAGGTGTTCCTGAAGTTGGGAAGACATGAGAGTTCAAATCCAGCCTTACTCACTTCTTAGCTGTGTGACCCTGGGCAAGTCACTCAGCCTCTGTTTGCCTTAGTTTCCTCCTCTGTAAAATGGGGATAATAATAGCACCTACCTCCTAGGGTTATTGTGAGGATCAAATAAGATAATAATTATAAAGCACTTAACACAGTGCCTGGCATATAGTAAGCACTATATGTTAGTAATTATTATTATTGTTATAGTACTCTCTGTCCTGTGGACTTGGCTTCTGATTGGCTCTTTCTTCCCACAGCTTTCAATTTAAGGAGCAAGCCGAAGCCAAAGGTGTCCTTATCTCTCTCCAGGCCCCACTGATGACTCTTCTCCATAGGATTTTCTCTACCATGCCCCCACAGTAAATTCTCACCTACTCACCCCACACCCCCTTTTCAGCTTTATCTTCCTCCATTAGAATGTAAGCTCCCTGTGGGCAGGAACTGTCTTTCTTCCTCTATTTGTATTTATCTCCAATGCTTAGTACAGTTACTCACAGTAAGAGCTTAATAAATGCCTGTTGACTGATTGATTACTATGAGTCAGTTGCTGGGTACACCCTGTGTATACAAAATACATACTGAAGAGGCCTGAGAGGCAGGGGAAGCACTAGCAACTGGGGGATCAGGATTAGCCTCATTTAGCTACTAGCTGTGTGACCCTGGGCAAGTCACTTAACCCTGTTTACCTCAGTTTCCTCTTCTGCAGAATGATCTGGAGAAGGAAATGGCAAACCACTCTAGTATCTCTGCCAAGAAAACCCCAAATGGGGTCATGAAGAGATGGACGTGACAGAAAACAACTGAACATACACATAGCGAGGGCATTGCAAAGGAATGAAAATGTGAGCTGAAATGCCATAATCAAGGCACCATAAGCAGGTCAGTTTGGTGAAGCCATAGTAGGGAGTGCTTTAAATGACAAGCAGAAAGAGTTTGTATTTTATTCTAAATGCAAGAGGGCAAAATGGTTACACCTGTGCTTTAGTAATATCAATTGAGAAGTCACGTGTAAGAAGGATTGAAAAGGGCAGAGACTATTACAATAATCCAGGTGAGAGGTGATGAAGACCTGAATTCGAGTGGTGGCTGTGTGCTGGTAAATGTTTAACAACCAGCTCTCTAAAATGGCACATCACACTTTTCTGTTTAATCTGCATGATTGACATTTTGTACATCACTTTTTAAAAGTCCATACAGTTGATGAAACAATAAATCAAGCTCAGATTCACAGTGTTTGCTTATTTTTGAGGTGTAAATACTCACAATGAAAATTTAACAATCAGCTTTTGGCCAGCTAGAATATTGTTGGGTAGGGGGCAGAACAAGAGGGAAGAATTGAGAATGACTGGTGTTGCAAACCTGGACTGACTGGAAGAATGGTGATGGATTGAACAGAAATAGGGAAATTAGGAATAGTTAAGAGTTAAGAGTTCACACTCCTTGAATCTTATCCTGTGATGCCACTAGATGCTTAGGATGTCACAGTGGATAGAATGTTGGGCTTGGAGTCTGGAAGATGAGTTCAAGTCCTGAGATAATATTTGTAAAGTGCTTGGCAAACCTCAAAGCACTATGTAAATGCTAATATTAATTTTTTTTTTTTAGGGTTTGAGCCTTATTTACCCAGAGCTTCTGTGTTCCAAAATTTCTCAGGAAAATATTGAATTTCCCAGGAAACAATGAGTGTTTTTATATTTCACCCTGAGAAGTTTATGGGAATTCTGGGACTCAGTTACTAAATTTTTTCTTTTTGTCTTGTAGTCCTAGTAAGATGCAGGGGGTTTGAGAAACAATTCTCTTTCCTCCAGATTCCTCTTGCTGTTCCATGATTAGCAATTTCATGGCAGTTCTTAACTGACATCCCCAAACTATGAATTTGTCACAGGACAAAGAGCTGCCAATTACAAGTAGAGAAGTGGGATTGTCTGCTAATGAAATACTAATTTGTTCAACAAAATAAGTTTTTTTGGAGGAGTGACTACACTGAAATCTCTCTTCTT